GTACAGTAGCCTCTTGCCCAAGAAACTGGAATTCCATTGGAATGGAAGAGAAATCGCCACACATCAGCAGAAGGTCAAGGGTTTAAAGGGAAATAATGAAAAAATGTAGGAAAGAAGGGGTCCAAGCACTACCAGATCTCAAACCATATCATAAAGAAATACTCATCTAAACAATTTGATACTGGTTAAAAAAAATAGAAAAGCTGATCTGTGGAACTGATTAGAAAGAATATATAGAAGCAAAAGAGCACAGTAGCCTCATGTTTGATAAATGCAAATATCTCAACTATTAGGACAAGAACTTGGTATTAAACAAAAACTACTGGGAAAATTAGAAAGCAATTTAGCAGAAAGGAGGTTTAGGCTAACATCTTAAAACTACGTACCAAGAGAAGTTCTAAATAGATACATGAGACAGAAAAGATTATATCATAAACAAATTAGAGAAACAGTGAAGATGTTATCTGTCAGATCTATGGATAAAATGAGATTTCATGACCAAATAAGAAATAGAAAGGATCACAAAAGGTACAAATGACAATTTTGATTATATAAAATTTTAAAGTTTTTGCATATCAATGCATTCAAAATTAAAAGTTGCTGTTCAGTCATTTTTCTATCATGTTTGACTCTTTGTGGCCTCATTTGGGGTTTTCTTAGCAAAGATATTGGGATGGTTTGCCATTTCCTTCTCCAGTTCATTTTACAGATGAAGAAACTGAGGCAGAGTTAAATGACTTGCCCAGGGTCATACAGCTAGTAAGTGTCTAAGGCTAGATTTAAACTCAGGGAAATGAGTCTTCCTGAATCTAGGCCCAGCATGCTATCCATTGTGCCACCTAGCTGCCCAAATTAGAAAAGAATCAGACAAATGAGGAGAGGGCTTCATTTCTTAAATGCATATGGAATTGATTTAAGTTTACAAGAATAGAAGCCATTTTCCATTTGATAAACAGTTAAGAGATAGAAACAGGAAGTTTTCAGAGGAAGAAATCTAACCTATTAATAATCATATTTACAAAGTGTTCTAAAACACTAATAATTAGAGAAATGCAAATTAAAACAACTCTAAGGTTCTTCCTCATACCCATTAGATTGGCAAAGTTAGAAAAAAAAAGGAAAATGACATATCTCACAAACGCTGTTGGAAATCAAGTATGTTAATGTACTGTTTGTGGCACTATGAACTAGCCAATTCCAGCCATTCTGAAAAGCAATTTGGAGCTATGCCCAAAAAGTTATTAAACTATGCATACCTTTGGTGCAATGATGCCACTACTGGTCTATACCCTAAACAGATCAAAATAAAAAGAGGAAAAGAGCACATATGTACTAAAATACTCATAGCAGCTCTTTTTGTGGTAGAGAGACAACATTATGCAATCAAAAGGGCACAAGTCCTGGTTCAGATACTTACTAATCATATGAGCCTGGGAAAGTCACTTTATTCTCTGAACCTCAGTTTCTACATCTGTAAAATGGGAATACTAATACTTATACTCCCTACCTAAAAAGGTTATCATGAGGAAAGTACTTTGTGAAGCTTATAGACCAAATAAATGTAAATTAATAGAACATTGTTCTTTATGTTGAACCAAAAAGTGCCTCATTATAATTTCTGCCCACTGGTCTGAGATATGCTCTCTAGAGCCCTCTATTCCAAATAATTTTTCATTTGTCTTTTGTATATGACCACCCTTAAAATATTTGCAGACAGTATTCATGCTGTGACTCATTTGTTTTTCATGGCCAAACATGCCTAGTTCCCCCGATGTTCCTTCATAGTCTGTGTTACCTTTTCTTGTTGGACTTCTGACCTGGAGTCAGGCAGGAGGATCCTGGAGGTAACGGAGAGGAAAGCCAATGAAAATGGCAGGAGCTGAGAGATGGAGTGTCTTCTCTGAGGATCAGCAAGAAAGCCAGTGCCCCTGGGTCAAAAATAGAAAGGGAAAGTGCTGCTCGTGGCAATGTGGCTGCTTATGTTCTATTGCAATCACTGAATTTGGTGATCGGTCTGTCTTGGTTGGAATCAGGGGAGTCTGACTATAACTGAGCTGCTGATGCTTACCCGAGGTGGGACACAGTGACCTCAAGAGTATCATGGCCCCGTGGGGTGAGAGTGATCCCTGATGTTAAACGGGAAAGTCCAAGACAACAAGGTGGATGAGACCCTCTGCTTTACCAATCTCTTTGTATGGATTAAATGTAATAAGATGAAACCTCACAAGAATTAATGTAAAGTCCTCCAATTGGGTTCAAATAACCAACCTCACAAGAACAGGATCAGTTATATAGTATTGGGGTTTTAGTGTGCTATAAATCTAATATGAGACAACACTATAACACATCAGTAAAATATCCAGTGCAGTCTTAGACTGAGTTAATAAAGGTATGGTGTTCAGGGGCAGTTAGATAGTGCAGTGGATAGAGCGCTGGGCCTGGAGTCAGGAAGACTTGAGTTCAAATCTAGCCTCAGACACTTACTAGCCATGTGACCCTAGGCAAGTCACTTGAGCCTGTTTGCCTCAGTTTCCTCATCTGTAAAATGAGTTGAAGAAGGAAATCACAAACTGCTCCAGTATCTTTGCCAAGAAAACCCCAAATGGGGTCATGAAGAATCAGACACTACTGAAATGAATGAACAACAGTAATAGCATCCAGAATAAGAGAGGAGATAGTCCTGCTCCACTCCTCTATTAAACCCTTTGCTCTAGTATGTGAGCAAGATGTGGCCCTTCATCTTGCCAAGGGCCCTGGGCCCTTCCTTGGGCCTTTGATTCCCTCCCCTTCCATTTCTTTTACGAACATGACTAATCTTTCCTGTTCTCTTGTCTCGTCTCCCTCAAGTCATGGTCCAATATTCCATCTTCATTTCCCAGAAAAACTCCTCGAGTCGTCTGTACTTGCTGCCTCTCCTTCTCTTCCTCCAGCCTCTCAAACCTTTTCCATCTCTTAGTCACTAAATTGGATGGTTCTTTGTCAGGCTGCTTGGTGGTGCCAAGTACAGAGCTCTGGGCCCAGAGTCAGGAAGATCTGAATTTAAATCCAGCCTCAAGCACTTACTTTCTATATGATCCTGAGTAACTCATTTAACCTTTTTGCCTCAGTTTCCTCAATTATAAAATAGGGACATCAACAGTACCTAACCTTCCATAGTTGTGATTGTCCAGAGATAATATTTGTAAAGTGCTTAGCACATAGTAGGTGCTATATAAATGCTAGCAATTATATTATCATTATTATATTACAGTAGCTATCATTCTGTCCCTTCTCAAATTACCTTATATTTTATCTATCTATCTGATAGTGTATAGTTTCTTTTAGAGGAGGGATTGTTTCATTCTTTGTATATACATTGCCAACACCCAGGAAAATGCCTGCCACTTAATAAATGCTTGCTGATTAATGCATATCTGTCCATATTACATCTCCCCCATTCTTACTAGAATGTAAGGTTCTTGAGGATAGAAACTGTTTCATTTTTGTCTTTGTGTTCAGTACCTAGTACATGGCTCTTAAGAAATGTTGAATAGAATGGCAAAGAAGAGATCGAGGCAAAGTGTTGGAAAGAATAGGAAGGCAAGAGAATGCTTTCAGCAAGGGAAAGATGGGATGCATGTCAGAGAAAGCTATATGAATAAAGTGACGCCTGGATTCAGTCTTAAAAGAAGGGAAGGAATTTGCCACCTTGGGATCAGAAGGGAGTGTGTACTAGGCATAGGAGAACAGTTTGGACAGGAGTAAAGAGGCAAGAGAAGGGAGATTAATATTGCAAAAACCAACCAGTCATCCAAGATGGGTATTGAGTACGTAAAGAGGAATAATATACAATATGGCTGGAGGAACACATTGGGGTCTTAAATGCCAGGCTAACTCTGGAAGAGAGTGAGGCTGACGACTTTGCACAGCTCTGCCTCACCTATGTCGCTTAATAAATGCTTGTGGATTAATACATATCTATCTTTTTGTATCTTCTCCATTCTCACTAGAATGTAAGCTCTCTAAGGACAGGAACTGTTTCATGTTTGTCTTTGTGCTCAGTACATGGCTCTTAATAAATGTTGAATGGAATGGCAAAGAGATGAAGGCAAAACATTGGAAAGAATAGGAAGGCAAGAGAGACCTAGTTTCTCTCCATTGTTCCACTCTGCCTCTCTGAAAAATGAACCACATTTAAAAAAAGAAAGGAAGAAAGAAAAAAAGTAGATACGAAGTGCCTGTTATCCAGTCTAGAGCAGCTAGGCGTTGGACTGGATAAAATCCTGGGCCTGGAGTCAGGAAGACTCAAATCCAGCCTCAGACACTTACTAGCTGTGGGACTCTGAGTAAGTCACTTAATCCTGTTCATCTCAATTCTTCATCTGTAAAATGAGCTGGAGAAGAAAATGGCAAATCACTCCAGTATCTCCAGACTTAAAAAAAAAGGAGTTTCTTAAGCATCTATGCCTTTATGATTTAAAAACTAAATGTCAATACTTAAAAAAAAGAAAACCACAACTTTTATTTCCTTGACTTATTTGGATCAATAAATAGATGACAACAAATAGATCTATATCCTCCAGGTAGGAAACTTGTTACCTGCTTATCCTGTGATTGACATCAGTGGCCACCTAAGGAAATTTGTGTATATATGTATGTGTGCAGGTGTTTTGGAGGAGCTAGGCTAGACAGTGAATAGAGCACTAGGCCTAGAGTCAAGAGTTCAGATCTGGCCTCAGACACTTATTAGCTACGTGATGTTAGACAAGTCATTTAACCTACTTGCCTCAGCTTCCTCATCTGTAAAATGGTGGTTAATTACAGTGCCCACCTCTCAGTGTTATTGGGAGGTTGTTATTATCCCATTACCAAATGAATTAACGATTATAAAGCACTTACAATGCCTGGCATAGTAGATACTATGTAAATATTAGCTATTATTATCTATTCCAAAGATTTTCTTTTTCTTTTCTTTTTCCTTTTTTTTTAAGTAAGTGGAGGAGGTGGGATAAAGAGAACTGTTTAGAAGTTAAAAAAACCCAAAACTTTATTTTCAAAAGTCAGTGCCTTGATTTCAATATTTCAGATCCCATACATGATTATTAGACAGCCCAGTAAGTAAATGATAACCATGACCATGTTAGACTGAGAAACAAAACCATTCCACTTATATTTTATCTATACACATTCACTAACTGAATCCTACCTCTGCAAGCTGAAAAGGTTTAAGTATTTCCCTTCTAATTTCAGGGCAATCTGGAATATTTTTGTCTACCTCCTAGTTTTACTCTCATATACTATCAATGCATCTGTCATTAGGATTTTGATCGTTCCCCTCCTACACCACACACTTTGATTTTTTGTGGATTAAGAAGCTAGAAAAACAATTTTATTAGAATTATGTGCTGAGTAAAAATCAATAAAGCTTTTTAAAAAGTACACAGGCTTTAAGGCATCTCTTTTATGACATTTGTTTTTGGTTCTTCAGAGACCCTTTTGCTCCCTTTCAGGTAATGGCTTTCTTTGGGAGTTGGGGGGTGAAGATTGCTGGAAGTCTCTACGATCCCCTTTGCTCTAAAAATTTTGCTTCTTTATGTAAATTACAAATAACTGATAAAGATTATTAAGGGCTTTGAAAATATAAAGTGCTTTAAAATAATTTTACTGCAAGCGAATTATTATAATTCAAAAAATTATTTTAAATCTCTTAGGTCAAAAGAACAAAATACTAGTTTTTTTTTTCAAATATCAAAACAAAATAGACCTTTTATCTCAAAGGAATTGTAGCTATTCTTCAGGATAGATCCTATCAATGAGAGCATAATTGACAAAGAAAAAGGGGTTTCTTAAGCATCTGTGCTTTTATGAGGAATAAAAACTAAATGTCAGTATTTCTCTTTTTAAAAAAAAAAGTTGATTTCCTTGATTTATTTGGGTCTATAAACACAGGACAACAAATTGATCTATATCCTCCAGGTTGGAAAACTTGTTACCTGCTCATCCTGTGATTGACATCAGTGACCATCTGACGAAACGTGTCAAGGATGTGGTTACTACCAACTTTTGTATTGATAGTTGATATACCCAAACTTTGCTTTCATAGCTCTAATTCTGAAGCCAATGAAAGCAGACAGATCAGACCTTTGAAATGGGTCCTCTACCAGAGGATTTACATTTCAAATATATCTTCAAGAATTTTGTAAGCTAGCTTTCTCTCTCTCCCTCTCTCTCTCTCTCTCTCTCTCTCTCATCTTTCAGGCTAGATGATGAACTGCCAATACAATCGATCGAATTTAAAGTTCCCTCCTATGTTCTCCTCTTCAGCTTAATCCAGATGCCATTCTTTGGCCGAAGAATCATCTCTCCCACCAAGTGAAGTTCTTCTCTTTTTTGAATGGATTCGATCCAAAACCGCCTCAGCACCCAGGAAATGACAGTCTTTTCTTCCATCATTGCAAACTTCTGACCTTAAAATTTAATAGACACATGGCCACTTCAGAGTTTATTCCCAGACAGAGGTTTCAAAGATCTCTGTGATCTTAGGTATGATATGTCTGAAATATGTTGACTCCCTACATATATTTCAATTCAATTTGATAATCATTTATAAAGCGCCTACTATGTATAAGGCAATGTGCTAGAAAGTATGGATCCGGGGACAAAAACTAAATAGTGGAGAAGAGAATAAGTGTTTATTAAGTACCTACCATGTACCAGATACTGTGTTTTACAAATATTATCTCATTTGATCCTCACAACAATCCTGAGAGATGGGTGCTATTGCTATCCCCATTTTATAGATGAGGAAACTGAGGCAGACTGAGGTTAAATGACTCACCCAGTCATACAACTAGTAAGCATCTGAGGCTATACTGGAACTCAAGTATCCCTGACTTCAGGTCCAGAGTTTTACCCACTGTACCACCTACCTGTCCTTAAGGTAGATGGGAGGAGAGATCTACAAAGGGAACAGGGAGAGGGGGGTTTCAACTACAGGAATCAGGAAAGGTAAAGAAGGAGCTGAGCCAAGTCAAGCTTGAAGAAGGCTACAGATTATAAGACATGGTGATAAGAAAGTGAGCACGATCCAGGTGTAAGGGGGCCAGACTGTGCAGAGGCAGAGATGGGACATCAAATCAAAGCTACAGCTGACTGTTCTTCCCATTTGCATGGAACACGGAGTCCGTGAAGGCAAATAATATGAAATGTGTTTGGAAAGGCAGGTAGAAGTGAAGGTGGGCAGAGTCTTAACTGCCAGGCTGATGAATTTGCATTTGATTACAGTGGCCACAGGGAATCACTGGAGCCTTTCTGAGAAGGAGGATATTCAGAATGTGTTTGGAAATATCAGTCTGGCAGCCTTGTGGAGGAGGGAAAGAGACTCCTTCACCACCTCTTCCAGGATGCATTTCCCAGTCAGCGGCCCACAGTCCTGGCACATAGTAATAAACCTTAGTAAATGGTTGTTACCTAACTGATTGAATCCTCCCAACTGACAAAACATTTCCCCTCAGGATTTAGCTTTGTAACTCTCTGATGTTGATATACTCATCGTGAAATATTATATGTCATAACTATCTTTGTTGGTATATTTCCTCTCCATGCTAGACTGGAAGTTCCATAAGAGAAGAGATCCAGTCACCTTCACTCCTAGCACATCAGAGTCATTTAATAAACGCTTATTGAACTGAATCACATTAGTCCACTGTGTTCTGATATGACTTTCTTAATGAATGTTGTCCATGTAGACAACTAAGGCATACTTCTTGAATATACACATGCATAGTGCTAGACAGCATTAAAGACACAGAGGAAATAGAAGACAATGTCTGCAGCTAAATGATATAGTACAATTAAGAATTTTATTATCTATACTATACCATGCTATGCTCTGCTATGCATGTTATAATATAACAAGATATGCTATATTATATTGTATTGTTATATTGTATTACATATGTCAATTAGATTAAATTATATCATATAATATAAAGTATATGGGGGGGCGAAGCCAAGATGGCGGAGTGAAAGCAGTGACTTGTTTGAGCTCTCCCCCAAACCCCTCCAAATACTCATAAAAAATGGCTCTAAACAAATTCTGAAGCAGCAGAACACACACAAAAAGACAGAGTGAAACAAATTTCCAGCCCAAGACAACCTGGATGATTGATTAGAAAGGTGTATCGCGCTAGGCTGGGAGCGCAGCACAGGGCAGCTTGGGCACTCAGGCCGCAGCAAACCTGGAGCAGGCCTCAGAGGACTGAATCACGGGGCAGCTGTGGAGGTTTCCAGACTCCTCAATCCACGAATGCCAAAGACAACTTAGAAGGTCAGTGGGAAAAGTCTGTTTCTGTTGGTGGTCAGAGGGGAAGGTGGGGTTTCAGCTCCAGTCCCCAAGAGCGTGGCCCTGGGCGGGGGGGAGCTTGTGGCCTTACAGACTGAGGGGGAATCCAGTGGCTGATCAGAGAGGGTCTGCAGGGATCTCTTTGCCAGTGCTAAGGCAGGAATCTCTTGCTTTGCCCGTGTGTGGATCTGGGTCACAGTTCTGGGCGGTGGTGCTGGGGTGAGGAGGAACGCTGGCTTGGTGGAGCTTGGAGTGGCTGTGAAGAGGAACCCCTCCTCACAGTTACGGGACAGAAAGGAATACTTGTGGTCACAGGCCAGGAAAGGAGTAAACACCTCGCCCCTTATCATACCACCTTGGAAGAACTGAAAATTTACAGGTCCCTACAAGTATCTCTGAAAACAGCTACACAAACCCCTGAAGCTTGGGACAGTACACTCTCCACATTGGAAGCAGACTCTTACCTTAACAAAGAGTTTAAAACTCAAGTAATTGGCCGGGATCATGAGCAAGCAGCACAAAAAGAGTCAGACTATATTACCTTACTTTGGTGAAAAAGAAGATCAAAATATACAACCAGAAGAAGACAACAAAATCAAAGCTCCTACATCCAAAGCCTCCAAGAAAAATATGAATCAGTCCCAGGCCTTGGAAGAGCTCAAAAGGGATTTTGAAAAGCAAGTAAGGGATGTAGAGGAAAAACTGGGAAGAGAAATGAGAGTGATGCAAGAAAATCATGAAAAACAAGTCAACAGCTTGCTAAAGGAGACCCAAAAAAATACTGAAGAAAATAACACCTTAAAAAACAGCCTAACCCAAATGGCAAAAGAGGTCAAAAAGCCAATGAGGAGAAAAATGCCCTAAAAAGAAAAATTGGCCAAATGGAAAAGGAAGTCCAAAAGATTACTGAAGAAAATACTTCCTTAAAAATTAGAATAGAGCAATTGGAAGATAGTGACTTTATGAGAAATCAAGACACTGTAAAACAAATTCAAAAGAATGAAAAATTAGAAAACAATGTGAAATATCTCATTGGAAAAACAACTGACCTGGAAAATAGATCCAGGAGAGAGAATTTAAAAATTATTGGACTATCTGAAAGCCATGATCAAAAAAAGAGCCTAGACATCATCTTTCAAGAAATTATCAAGGAAAACTGCCCTGATTATTAGAACCAGAGGGCAAAATAGAAATTGAAAGAATCCACCAATCTCCTCCTGAAAGAGATCCCCAAAGGAAAACTCCTAGGAATATTGTAGCCAAATTCCAGAGTTCCCAGGTCAAGGAGAAAATATTACAAGCTGCCAGAAGGAAACAGTTCAAGTACTGTGGAAACACAATCAGGATAACACAAGATTTAGCAGCTTCTACATTAAAGACTGCAGGGCATGGAATATAATATTCGGAGGGCAAAGGAGATAGGATTACAACCAAGAATCATCTACCCAGCAAAACTGAGTATAATCCTTCAGGGAAAAAATGGTCATTCAGTGAAATAGAGGACTTTCAAGCATTCCTGACGAAAAGACCAGAGATAAACAGAAAATTTGACTTTCAAATACAGGACTCCAGTGGAACATGAAGAGGTAAACAGAAAAGAGAAATCATAAGAGACTTATTAAGATTGAACTGTTTACATTCCTGCATGGAAAGATGATATTTGTAACTCATGAGAACTTTGTCAGTATTAGGGTAGTTGAAGGAAAAAAATTGTATGTATGTATATATAGATAGATAGAGGGCACAGGGTGAGTTGAAGATTAAGGGTTCATATTTGGAGAATAAAATAAGGGATGAGAGAGGATGATACTCAGAGAAGAAAGGGAGAGGTAGAATGGGGTAAATTATCTCACAAAAAAAAAACAGAAAAGAAAAGTCTCTCACAGTGGAGGGGAAACAGGGGAAGGTGAGAGGGAATGAGGGAATCTTATTCTCATAGGATTTGGCTTAAGGAGGAATAACATACACATTCAATTGGGTATGGAAATCTGTCTTACCCTACAGGAAAATAGGGGGAGAAGGGGACAAGAGAGCAGGGGGATGATAGAGAGGAGGGCAGATTGGGAAAGGGGTAATCAGAAGTAAATACTTCTGAGGAGGGACAGGGTCAAAAGAAAGAATAGAATAAATGGGAGGGCAGGATAGGATTAAGGGGAATAGAGTTAGTTTTTCACAACATGTCTACTAAGGAAGTGTTTTGCATAACTGCGCATGTACAACCTATATTGAGTTGCTTGCCTTTTCAATGAGGGTGAGTGGGGAGGGAGGAAGGGAGAAAATTTGGAACTCAAAGTTTTAAAAACACATGTTTTTAAAAAAATGTTTTCACATGCAACTGGGAAATAAGAAATACAGGAAATGGGGGTACAGAAGTCTATCCTGCTCTACAGGAAAATAGAAGGGGAAGGGGATAAGCGAAGGGAGGAGAGATAGAAGAGAAGGCAGACCAGGGGAAGGGGTATTCAGAATACATGCCATCTTGGGGTGGGGGGAGGGGTGAGAAATTTGGAACTCAAAAACTTGTGGAAGTGAATATTGAAAACTGAAAATAAATTATATTAGAAAGTAAAAAATAGATAGATAGATAGATAGATAGATAGATAGATAGATAGATAGATAAGAAAAAAATATTCAGTATATAGGGCAACTAGGTGGTACAGTGGATGGAGTGCCAGGCCTGGAGTCAAGAAGACGTCTCTCCTTGCCCCCCCCCATTTTCCCACAAAGCTCTAGCATCCTAAGTAAATAATAGTTTCCTTTCTAAAGCAATTAAGAAGAATTTAGAAGAAAGAATCAATATTCCAGATAGGAAAAAAAAAGAAATTTATTTTTTCCTGGTGACGGAGGAAATATTATTGCCTTAACATGAAGCCCTTGAAATCAAATTTTACCACTAGCAGTAAAAGAAGTTAAAGAAATTCTTCAGTTCCATTCCTCATAAATTTATAGTTCTACCTAAGTTTGACTTTCTCTTTGGAACCCTAAAGTTAACCTCTGATCAGATCAGTGAGTATAACATTATTGGCCTATTTTAGTCTAGTCTCATTTTTAAATAGGAATGAGCACTAAATCAGAAATGAACATCTAATCCTTCTTAGCCTCAGTTTCCACATACGTAAAATGAGGATAAAGAGGATCAAACAAGATAACATATGGAAAGCACTTGGCAAATCTTATGGAGCTACGTAAATGCTAGATATTATTATTACTATTATTAAAGTCTGGAAGGATTATGACCTCTGTCAGTGCAGTACAGGCACTAATGAAATTACATATTGTGGAATTATTAAATGCTATCACACTGACCAAACTTTTTTAAAAGTTATATTTCAAAGCCATGCTCTCATACTAATGTATAGCAGATAGCCAAGCTGAATTATGATACTTGTTGCTTTTTTGATCACTATGGGAAAAAAAATCACCTGATTTTGGATTGCAGCTAGGTAGTAGAGTGGATAGTGTTAGGCCTAGAGTCAAAAAACCTGAGTTCAAATCCTGCCTCTGACACTTACTAGCTGTGTGGCCCTGGGCAAGTCAGTGAACCTCTGCCTGCCTCAGTTTCCTCATCTGTAAAATGAGGATAGTAAAAGCACCTATCTCACAAGAGAATTGTGAGAATCAAATGAAGTAATGTTTATAAAGCAATTTGCAGTTAGATGGCATAGTGGATAAAATGCTGGACCTGGAGTCAGGAAGACTCATCTTCCTGAGCTCAAATCTGGCCTCAGGCACTTACTAGCTGTGTGACCCTGGGCAGGTCACTTAACTCTGTTTACCTCAGTTTCCTCATCTATAAAATGAGCTGGAGAAGGAAATGGAAAACCATTCCAGTATCTTTGTCAAGAAAACCCCAAACAGGGTCACAAAGAGTTGTACACAATTGAAATGGCAGAACAATAACAAAATAGTGCTATATAAATGCTGCTGCTGCTCCTTATAACTGCTACTACTACTACTGCTACTGCTACCACCACCACTACTACTACTACTACTGTTACTGCTGCTACTACTACTGCTGCTGCTGCTGCTGCTGCTGCTACTGCTACTGCTAGTACTACTACTACTATTAGATTTCAGATCCAGTGTTTAGCATGGTGAGTTGACAGAATAATGGTGTGATGCCCACAAAAAGGCTTTTCACAAGTTTCATTCTAATTCAGATAGTGTACATACCAATACAGTTTCTGGGTCCAGCAGAGAATGGAACATAAGCATAAGGATGGCGTCCATGAGCATTCTCAGGGAAGAATCGCTGAGGCTGGAAGTCCTCAGGATCTGGAAAGTGCTTTGGATCTCGGTGCAGGGCATAGGGTAAGACAACTGCTTCTGTCCCTTTTGGAACCTTATAACCAGCTACATGGGAAGAGCCAAAGAGACATGAGCAATGGTCTACTACCAACAGGAGCAAACTGCTCAGAAGATACAATTCCCCTCTTGGCCTAAACATGAGATGCTTACCAATAAAGCAATCTGAATTGAGAGTGCGGGCAAAAAAAGGAACAGAAGGAAAGAGACGAAGGGTCTCCTTGATGACACAATCCAAATATTTAAGTTTTTTCAGATCATCCACTGTAACAGGGCGGTCGGATTTTCCTTATTTAAAAAGGAGAACAACAACAAAAAAAATGAAAAGAAAAGCATCAAAGAAGCTTAAATTAACCTAAACACATAAGACTAATATTTAATTAAATATAAATATTAATTATATGTGAATATTTAATTTACAGATAAAGAATAAGGCATGGCTAATAAAACCTAAACTAGAAATCAGTATAAGGTAATTATTATGGAATACAGATGTGTATAGGAATAACAATATTATGTTAACATAATCAGGAACACAGGATAGTTCATCTTTGAAAAGACAGCAGTTGTGACCAAAAAAAAAACTAACTTATGATGGCCCCAACCTCTCTCCTATCCCAGACTGCCTACCGATAGCTGATAAAGGCCTTAAGACCAGCATTCTTTAGCTGGGTCTTATATTGTGATTGTATGGCTGCCAATGTTGGAAGAAGGGAGAGGAAGGGAATAGTGAAGTCTCTTTGTGGCTCAGGGAATTCTGGTTTTCTGGGTTAATTTTCATCTTGGATGTTATTCCCTGTCTACTCTTCTAGAAAAGTTTTTGTGCACTGTGCTGGGCTGAAAACTGCCTGAGGTCTAGACACAAAATACACCTAAGGGCTGGATGATAATTCTTCACAGTAAAGTCAGTTTCAGCTGCTTTCTTGACAACATTATCTGACACCTCTCCTACTTTCTTAATTATGCCTCCTTTAGAGGCCATGAGACCAGTTGTCAGAACAGATCTGTGGCTCATGCTACATCAGGAATCCTCATGAAGTGGACCATCTGTTTCTTCTCCTCAGTTTCTCCTCCTGTAAAATAAGGGGAAGGACTAGAAGGACCTTAAGGTTCTTTCCAGCTTTAAATCTGTGATCATGTCATGCAAGTATGGCATTCATTTGCCAAAGTAGAAGTATACATATATACATCAACTTTATACTTCTGGATCAATTAATAAGTGAATCTAACATACCAAAGACTTCATCCAGTTCATTGTGTACTTTGCGCTGGGCTTCTGGGTGGGAACCTAGCAAGTAGATGACCCAGTTCATAGCTGTTGCTGTGGTGTCATGACCCTAAAGGAAAAAAATTAAAATGATGGTGGAGAAACAAGGGGGAGAAGACAGAAGGCAGAAGCACAAAAACTGTCTTATGTTATTTCAGGTGGAGTATGACAAGGAAAAGAATACAATATAATTAAATGCACAAAGCAATAAGAACTCTAACACTATGACTTAGAATAGTCTTTGATAAAGAGGTAATGCTTCTCATCAAGGCCAATCCTTCCTATATGTGCCCTTGATTCCATCCCTGTCTTCTCTAGCAGGCCACCCCCAGGATTATCTCATCAACCTAATGGCTTCTTCTCTGACGCATACAAACTTCCCCATTCTCTACCATTCTTTATAAACTTTCACTATACTCTAGCATCCCCTCTAGCTATTATCCTTTATCCTTTATTTCTGAGTTGAGCTCTTAGAAAAAACAATCTCATTCACTGCCTCCATTTCCTTTCTTTTCACACACTTCTCAACACTTTGTAATCTGGCTTCTGACCACATCATTCAATTGAAAATACTTTCTCCAAAGTTACCAATGCCTTTCCAATAGCCAGATCTGATAGCCTTTTCTCAGTATTCATTCTCCTTTACCTTTCTACCACACACCTGACACCACTGACCTTTAAAGATATTCTTTCCTCCCTGAGATTGTGCTCTCCCCCTATCTATCTGACAGTTCTTTCTCAATCTTTCGTCAGAAGTATCATCAATATCACACTCCATCCACTACTTTCAGAACTATCAAATAAGGACAATTATACACATAGGAAGGAACTTTTAAATTCCTCAGAAAAAAAACACCTTATTTTATCAATCTAAGATAACATAATACATATATGATTAAGAAAAAAAAAAGAAGACAATTCTTCCTCTCCTTTTTTGGATGAATGATAGATCCATTTCGGGTTTTAAAAGCTTATCCCTCTAAAGGAGGAAGATTGGTGGGCATATGACAAAAAAAAATGTTGAATCTGCTGAGTCAGCCTATGTTTGTATCTTTATATAACTGAGTTCAAGACTTTTCTGGATATTTCCCACAGCAGCTATCCTCTGACCAAAGAACTAGGAACTCAAATGAGAAGCAACCACATCTGGCTCCTTTTCAACTTCTTTAGGGAAGGCATCTTGACATTACACTCCTTAATATACTTTCCTGGATTTGGCAGGGAAATTGACCCAAGTCAGAATACAAATGGATTTGAGATATAAAGATATAGATAGGTAGACACACACACACATACATACATACACATATATGCATATTTGTTGTATATATACATACAAACATTTATATGTATATACATACATGCATATATACACATATCTGTTGTTGACACACACATAGGTGTGTATATATGTATATGGGTAACTAGGTGGCACAGTGGATAGTGCACTGGGTTTGAAATCAGGAAGACTCATCTTCATGAGTTCAGATATGGCCTCAGGCACTTACTAGCTGTGCGACCCTGGGCAAGTCGCTTAAGCCTGTTTGCCTCAGTTTCCTCATCTATAAAATGAGCTGAAGAAGGAAATGGCAAATCACTCCAGTATCTTTGCCAAGAAGACCCCAAATGGGGTCACAAAGAGTAAGACACCACTGAAGCGACAACAACAATATATATATATATATATGTGTGTGTGTGTGTGTGTGTATGAATATCATATGCACAAAAACACATATATATGTATGTATATATGTGTGAGTGTGTCTATATTATAAGGCTCACATTTATCAAAGGCTCATATCATTTTATATTTTTTAATATAAAGAAACAAATTAGTGGGGAAATTTGTTTCAAAAAATTCAATATAGTCTCTTATCCCAGTGATATAAGAAACTCCAGAAAAATGTAGGTACGGGTTTGGAATAATATTACATGTACTAAGAATCTCTTCAATGGTGTTTGGAAAGCCCCATGATATGAAGCTTACTTCAAACATGAAAGTATCAACTTCTTCTCGAATGTCCTGAGGACTTAGCATGTTCCCATCTTCATCAGTTGTATTTAAAAGCAAGTCTAGAAAAGCCAGCCGTTTGATGTTTTTTGGTTTCATATCCCCTTCCTTCTGTGCCTTATTTTCCTTCATTTGTCTGGCTCGTTCTTCAATAACCTTTATATTGGAAAAAAAACCCTTTTATTTTTATACATTCTGCAGTTTAACAATATTCCCTCAGAAAGAACAATGGCTTCAGAAGGCCGTGGAGCATCCAATAGCTTTTCCTTGGAGACTTTTCTAAAATGTTTAGATCTCATTGTGTGTACCATTTTCCCCACCAAGGGGCTACAGTTCTAATGTATTGTTCAATGCAGTCCAATAAGCATTACTGAACATCAGCTATGTACCAGCACTGGGCATAAACAGAAAAAAACAAAAAGATCCCTCAGTGTCTGCACTCAGCAAACTTTCAATTTTACTAAGGAGAAAGAATGAAAATTACTACAAAAATGTTAATGTGACTTCATAAAAGGTAATTATGATCCAGTCAAAAGCAAGCAAGTCTTGAAATCTAAACTCAGTCTTGGATCTGACACTATAAGACAGCCCACAAGGCACTTTACTCTCTGTACCTCAGTTTCTTCATCTATAAAATAAGGATAATCTATTAAACTATATACTATATATACTCATATTGTATATCATGTATTTCACAGGATTGTTATGAGGAAAACATTTTGTAAATTTTAAAATTCTCACTCAGGTAGGCATGCACACAATTTTGTTTGTGTGTGTATGTGTGTTTGTATGCACACGTGCACAATAATTATAACGATCAAGGCTGACCCTGAAGCAGAGAGGAGAAAATTTTCCTTCTTAGTTGACAGGTCAGTTTGTTTTGCTCCACTGTTTTTTCTTTTTCCCTTTCTTTTTTATTCTTTGTTATAAGCTACAAGTTCACTCCAAGCAGGTAAAATGGAGAGGAGAGGAGGAAATCTATTTGTAAATGAAGATGATATAAAAATAAAAGATATAAATAAATATTTTAAAAAGACCTTAAAGTTCATTCATTCTCTTCCAAGCCGTATCCCTGACTTTCTGGATTACAATAGCATGCCTTCTCTACTGATGGTTCATCCTGGAGCTGTCCTCATCAACTGGTGCCACCTTGCCTTGGAACCTACCAACCCTGCAGTCTGCTCACCCTGCACTATTCCTTCATCAGGCCTTTTCCCCTTCCTCCTGGGTCTTCCATTTTGTCCTGACCCTATTCCTGACTTTTTGGACTTCACAACCATGGCCCTAAACCAGATCCCTTTCTATTTCCCCTCCTATTTCCCTACATTCTCTCTCTCTGTGTCTCTATCTCTCTGTTTCTGTCTCTCTCTATCTCTTTGTCTCTCTCTGTCTGTCTGTCTCTCTCTCTCTCTCTCTCTCTCTCCTCTCGGTGTCTGTGTCTCTATCTCTTTCTGTGTCTCTGTCTCTGTCTCTCTCCCTCTCTCTTTTGCGTGTTGACTTCCCCTAATAGACATTGACCCCAGTTGAATGAAAGCTACACAAGGACAGGGACTGTTTTTCTTTCTGTTTTTATCTGTATCCCAAGGCTTAGCCTGGTACATAACAGGCACTTAATAAAGGCTTATTCCCTCCCTCCCTTCCTCCTTTCTTTTTTTCCCTTCCTTCCCTCCTTGAAATGATCATATCCAGGAACAGTTAGTAAGATGATATTAAATAATACAAGTTCACTCTAAGCAGGTAAAATCAATAGCTTTTCAGTAGGATATCTGTTAACTGGTTAACTAGGCAGCTGATCTAGTAACAGTAAAATGGATGAATGAAACCATCAGCAAATTAAATATATGAAAAGATAGATTTATACAAAACATAAATCAAGATGGCAACTACTTACTTTAGATAAGAATTCCCAATAAAATTTTTAAAATATCTTTCCTATGGTATTTAAAATGTGACTTGATATACCACCTCTTCCTTACCCCACCCAAATCAACTAACATTCAATTTTTCAGATCCATACATTTTACATAAAGTAAAGTACATTTAACATGTGTCACTATTTCTCTTATTTTTTTTAGTTGGCTATGACCAGCTATTTCATTTTAGAACTTGAATGTTTTCTCAGGTAGCTCAACATAACCAGAAAACCCAGCTTCTATTGCCTCTGAAAGCTTCTGTCTATACTAACCCCTGCCAAAGATTTTAATTTGAATGTCTATTTAATTTATTCTATTTAATTTTTATCATATCCTATACAATTCAGGATGCTATCAAAATGGGATGAGGGGGAAGGGAGAAGGAACATACTTTGTCTGTGAAATCATGTAAGATTTTTAGACTCCTCTTGTGTTCCCATCCTTCTTTAAACAGAAGATACCACATGTCAAGCCAAAGCCAAGGCATCTTGATTCTACGAAATATTATATCAGTCATCCTACAATAGAAGATTTTTAAAAAATGAATGAATTAAGATTGAGATTAGAATGAACTCCAACAAGAATCCTTCAAAGTAGTACCCATCTTGCATTATCATCACATTCCCATATGGACATTGAATGCTTATTACTTACAGTTACTAAGTTATCACTAGGTTATAAGTATGCAGTTAACTATAGTTACTAAGACAAGGATAAACATGGTAGAGCCCCAGGCCCAGAAACTTAGGAGATCAGCAGGAAAGGTCTGTCTCACTTGGGTAAAAGGGGGCTCATTCTAGGACAAGAAGTGTCCAATCAAAGGGGCAGCTAGGTGGCGCAGTGGATAGAGCACCGGCCCTGAAGTCAGGAGGACCTGAGTTCAAATCCGGCCTCAGACCAAACACTTGACACTAGCTGTGTGACCCTGGGCAAGTCACTTAACCCCAATTGCCTAAAAGCAAAAAAAAAAAAAAAAGAAGTGTCCAATCAAGCCAGCAGCAAGCCCCATCTCAGCAATCCAGTGGGAGATCCTGAGCCCTAGTGTGGTGGAGCAGGCAAACACCAACACCAGGACTCCCCACATGCCTCAGCATAATCAGGAGAAGGAGCAGACTCCAGGTCCAAGAACTGCCATATGCTTCAGCACTGGGCAAACAGGCAACCTCAAGCAGCCAGAGCACCACGCGCTTCAATGTAGCCCTAGGGAAATGAAGAAACACCCCACTGGCCTCACTACACACCACACACCAGCACTAGGACCCCAGCTCAGGGCCAGGTAAGCTGCCAGACACCTATGAGCTCCAGCAGTGCCTGCTATCAACTCTCCCCCCCCACTCTACCTCCTCAACACAGCACCAGTAGGGTCTCTCGTGGGCCTCAGGGCAACATCAGTATAGCACCAGGTTAACAGCCAGGGCTGCAGCCCCTGTCATAAGAAGCCTGAGACAATGTCCTTTCCACCCCAAAAGCAGAGCTCAAATTTAAAAGAAAGAAAAAAGACCAAAAAGATGAGCAAAAAACAAACAAAAAAAAATCTGCCCATAGAAAGTTATTATGGTGACAGGGAAGATCAAGGCACAAACTCAGAAGACAACTTATGGGCAAAGCCCCAAACTAAAATGGGAAGTGGTCTCAAGCCCAGAAAGAACTCAAGGAAGAGCTCACAAAGGAGCTTAAAAGTCATAAAAGAGAGGTAGAAAAAAATTGGGAAAAGAAATGAGAGGGATGCAAGAGAATTATGGGAAAAAAGTCAACAGCTTGGAAAAAGAAAACAACTGCTTAAAAAGCAGAATTGTCCAAATGGAAAAGGAAACACAAAAATCCACTGAAGAAAATAACTCCTTAAAAATACAATTTGCTAAATGATAAAGGAAGTATAAAAGCTAGTTGAGGAAAACAACTCCTTAGAAGTTAGAATTGGACAAGTGGAAGCTAATAACTCTATAAGACATCAAGAATCAATCAAACAAATTTAAAAGAATGAAAAGATAGAAGAAAACATAAAATACCTCATTGGAAAAACAACTGAGCTGGAAAAATAGATCCTGGAGAGACAATATCAGAATCATTGCACTACCTGAAAGCCATTATCAAAAGGAGGACCTGGACCGCCTCTTTCAAGAAATCATCAAGGAAAATTGCCAAAATATCCAAGAACCAGAGGGCAAAATAGGCATTCATCAATCACCTCAGAAAAGAGATCCCAAAATAAAAACTCCAAGGAACATTATAGTCACATTCAGAACTATCAGGTCAAGGAAAAAAAATACCACAAATGGCCAGAAAGAAACAATTCAAATATCAGAGAGTCACAATCAGGATTACATAGGACTTGGCAGCTGCAACTTTAAAGGACTGGAGGTCATAGAACACGGTATTCTAGAAAGCAAAGAAGCTAGGACTACAACCAAGAATCCCTTACCTGGCAAAATTAAGTATAATACTTGTAAAAAATGATCTCTAATATCAAGACCCAAGAGAAGCCTAAAAAGGTGAAAAGGGGAAAGAAAACAAAGGATTCAATGGAGTTGAACTGTTTACATCCCTACATGGGAAAATGATACTTATAATTCTTAAAAATTATACCACTATTAGTAGAGCTAGAAGGAATATACATAGAGAGAGGGTGCAAACTGAAAGAATGACAAAAAATGAAGGGATGAGAAAGAGGAGTACACTGGGTGCAGAAGGAAGGGAGAGGCAAAACTGGATAAATTATTTTACGTGAAGAGCACAAAAAACCTACTACGGTGGAAGGAAAGATGGGGTGGGGCAATGGGCATCACCTGAACCTTACTATCATCAGTATTGGCTCAAAGAGGGAATAATACACACAATCAGTTGAATATAGAAATCTATCTTTTCCAAGAGTAAAGTAGGAGGGGAGAAAATTAAGCAAATGATGGTGGTGGCGGTGGGGAGACTGACAGAAGAGAGGGCAGACCAGAGGAGTGGTAGATAGAAGCAAAACACTGTTAAGGAGGGAAAGGATGAAAGGGAGGGAAGATTAAGAGGAGGAAAAATAGGATGGAGAGAAATACACAGTTAGTAATCATAACTATGAGCATGAATAGGGTTCACTCTCCCATAAAATGGAAGCAGATAGAATTCACCATTTGACAAAAAACTGCGGGGAAAACTGGAAAACAGTAGGGCACAAACTAGGCAAAGACCAACATTTTACACCATAAGGTTAAAATGGGTACATGATTTATTTTTTCCTGTTTTTTTTCTCTTTTCTTTTTTGGCAATTGGGGTTAAGTGACTTGCCCAGGGTCACACAGCTAGTAAGTGTCAAGTATTTGGTCTGAGGCCGGATTTGAACTCAGGTCCTCCTGACTTCAGGGCCTGTGCTCTATCAACTGTACCACCTAGCTGCCCCTTTACATGATTTAAACATAAAGGATGACACCATAAGCAAATCAGAAGAGCAAGGAATAGTCTACCTGTCAGACCTATGGAGAAGGTAATCATTAGTGACCAAATAAGAGACAGAAAATATTATGAAATATAAAATAGATAACTTTGATTATATAAAATTAAAATATTTGTACCATTTGTAAGCCTTTTCAATTAAGTGATATCTGCTTGTTCCCAAAGAATTTTTTTGAGTTTTTGACCTGCTTACCATATGCTCTGGGACAATCTGTCAATACTATTCTTCTTTTTGGGTGAGGAAGGGTTACTCATTCTAGAGCTGCCTTAGGATGAGGGGCTCTGGGTTTCTTAATATTGTACAGATTTTTATTAGAATATTTTTTCAAATCCTATCCCAATCTGCTATTGTCTGTTTATTTTATAGTTCTTGAAGTGTGCATTAAAGCTAGTTTCACTTTATGTTCACCCTATTGAGTGTTATTGTTATCATTTTTATTATTATTAATAAAATCATGACAAAAATTCATTTGATTCTTGGTCTCAGTAAAATGAGAAAACATCTGAATCTACTGATATGATAGAAATAAATAAAGCAACTTCACTTACGTGGAAATAAACATAAAACTAACTTTCACAGTAAATGTTTTTATACATTAATTACATATGATGATTTTAAGTGTGTGTATATATGTATGTATGTGTGTACATGCCTTTCAAAGACAGCTTATTTTAGGGTTGTGGCTGATAGTATAACCAATGTATTATATAATCCTGAAATGAGGCTAAGGGTCTACAAGTTTATTCATTTTGAAACAGAGAGTCCACAAGAATCAATGGGAAAGGTAAGGTGAGTAGGATTTCATGTAAGAAGCTGGATCAAGATCTGCCATCTGCCTGAACTTCACAAGTTAATATATTTAGAGCAGAAAGGGACCTTAAATCATCTAGTCCAATCCCTTCATTTTATAGCTAAGGAAACTGAGATCTAGAGAGGCCAACAGACGTAATTTTGTGTAACCTGGTGTGAGAACCAGGATTCAAACCCAGCTACTCTGAGGTTATTTCTCTCAACAGCCATCACTGCCTCACTGTTCCAGAGATGTTGGAAGATTTGAGAAGTCAAGAAAAGTTGAGGTGCTATTCCCCACCCCCATCATAGCCACCACCACTACAGTGGTACCAATTAATCTCTTAATCTTCAAATCTTCCCCTGGATACAATGGATCACAGACCTGAATAGGATTTGGGTTGAGTGGCTTCCATTTTCTCTGTCCGTGTTCTACTTTGCTAAGCAGATACTCAAAAGAGACCCCAAAGGGCAAGAATAATGACCACCCAGTTGGAACTCATTCTACTCACTGTAATACTCACTTGTCTATGCTGAGGGGGCAATGACAACGGCAAGTATAAACAAGTTACCCACTCTATAGATGTCATGGACAACGTTTACTTCTTGAAACATCACAGAATCAGGGAACCAAAGAAATTCAGACAAAGATGGAAACTGAGAGGTCATTTAATCCAACCCTTTCATTTTCCTGGTAAGGAAACTATAGGCCAGAGAGTCTAAGCAATATGCTATGTCAGCAGCTAGTTAGTATCAGATCCAGTCATTGAACCCATGGATTCCATCTGATGCCAAGCCCAATGCCCTTTCCATTCTTCATGTCATCGTCTTACATTGCAAAATGGCCTTTTCTATGAAAATTCTGGATAAGCTATTGCAGTATCTTAGGAAGACAAATGTGCTTTTGTTGTTGTTACAGCTTTTTGAGGTAAGAAGAAAAATCATCTTTAAAAATGAACGTTTCCATTTTGGAGATACTCATTGCATTGCCACAGTGAACTACCAACAAGGAAAATACCTCTGCCAATGAACATCAGCATATGTTCTGCAACACAGAAATTTGCCTGGGACACTAAAAGGTTAAATGATTTGCCCACATAGGCAACATATGTCAGAAGCAAGACTTGACCCAGGTCTTCCTGACTCTAAGGTCATGTAACCACCATACTGACTTCAATATGGTCCATTCATTTTCCCAACTAGGAATTTTTTTAATGAGTCATTTTTGTATCACAGCTTCTATTGCTAGGTAGTCAGTTGGCCCAGTCGATATAATTACTTATAGTTACTAAGTTATAACTAGGTTTTAGGTATATAGTTACTATAGTTACTAACTTATAGTTACTAAGGAAAGGATAGACATGTGTAGAACACCAGGCCTGGCTTCAGGAAGATGAGTCCAAATCCAGCCTCAGATACTTATGAGCTCTGTGTGACCCTGGACAAGTTGCTTAACTGCTGTTTGCCTCAGTTTCCTCAACTGTAAAATGGGGATAATAGTAGCACCTACCTCCCTGGTTTGTTATAAAGCTCAAATGAGATGAATTTGTAAAGTGCTACCACAGTGCCTGGCACACAATAAGTACTATATGTGTTGTTGTGATCACTCTTATAACCACTGGTCTTCTAAGATCTTTAGCCCATTTCTTACCTTCAAGCTATACATGAACAGGATTCATTTAACAGAGCCAGGAAAGGGAGAAAATTCTCTGAGCTCAGCTATTCTGTCAATGAGGAGAAATAATTTGTTCCAACCCTTGGCAAGCCAGAAAAGCTTACAGCTTAATAGTATTTAGTACGTTCCTTCCTTCCCTTTCCTGCTCTTTAACTGAGTATGCTTTCCAAGGTTCCCTCCTAGGGACAGCTAGGTGGCTCAGTGGAAAGAGTACCCGCCCTGGATTCAGGAGGACCTGAGTTCAAATCTGGCCTCAGACCCATAACACTTACTAGCTGTGTGACACCGGGTAAGTCACTTAACCCCACTGCCTAACCAAAGAAAAGAAAAGAACCAAAAAAAAAAAAGGTTCCCTCCTTAGACTTCTAACCTAGAAGTTCTTAATGTGGGCCTGTGAATTTTTTAAAATGTCCATTTTGATAAATGTATTTCAATATATTGGCTTCCTTTGTACTCTTATGTATTCCAAATTATCCATTTAAAAACATGATTCTGAGAAGGGATCCATAGGATTTACTGGACTGCCAAAAGAGACCATGACACAGAAATGTTGTCTCTGCTCTAATCTCTCCTTTCTCCCGGCCATCCTTTGCTTTCTTACCAACCCCCCTCCCCTATTCAAAAACCTCCTGTGACTCCATCATTCTAATCAGGTCACTCTTCTGCCCAAGGACCTTCTTGGCTCCCCTCTGTCCACTAAAGAGAGAATGAATTCCTTAGCGTATAGTTAAGGCCCTCAAAAATCTGGCTGCAACCTTCCTCACCAGCCTTCCTCACTGTTCCCCTCGATTTATTCTGTGTTGCATACAGAATGGACTACTCACCACCTTCTGATCTTGTCTGGCCCTTTCTAAAACTAATCTCCTTCCTACTCCTAAGCCTAGGCTGAAACTCTGAAAGCAAGCTCTATGAGAACCAGTACTTCATTGATGTGCGTACCCACTCTCCCCCGTTGATGCAAATCCCAACCTGGTCAGAAATTGCTATGAAGACTCCCCCACTTTTTACCAAGCTGGTGAATAAACAAGAGAAATAAAACACAAAAGCCCAAACTCGGAACTACACTGGAAGGTTTTGCAGCTTGGTAAGACTGGATAGAGCTTACTTTCCTTGGGCACAACCTTTGAGAAGCGAGGGTCACCTCTACTCCAGAAGGAGACATTGAAGGAAGGTTGTTTTTTTTTTTTGGGGGGGGTGTCAAAGCCATAAATATAATACATTGTTCATAGAAGAAATGGTAGATGCCAGAAACTTGGGCAATTTCATACATTAATTCATGTCCACTTAAAATATTAATTTAATATGCAGGTACACTAAGAGCCTGTAAGAACCATAGAAAAGGAAATGTCACATATATGATTAAAATATCACTACTGGCACTAACTTTAAAAACCTAAATGAATAATAATACTTTGAAACCTCAAAGATGTCTATTTACCTAAAAACTGAGCGGACATACTCAGAATCACCATTGGCTTGGGCACCAATATTTTTACCCATAGCAGTTTCTAGAAAACAAAAGAAAAAGCCCAAGTTAGATTCATAAGAACATTCATCAGTTGGGTGGGGAGTGGGGGTAGTTAGATGATTTACTATTTTTAAAAGTTGTATAATGTTTATTATGTTTTTCAATTGGCCACCATCTTTCATGCTCCCTTCTCTTCCCTTCCTTTATCCACTCCACCCTCTTTTCTGCCTTTTCTTCTATCCTTCCTTCCCTATCCTACCACTGTCCCAGGAGTGGATGTAAAGTGAGGAAGGATCCCCCACTGAGCTGCCACTACAAGACCCAGTTCTGTGCCAGTCTGATGCTAGGTCCAGTAATCGAGGCTTTTTCTCCCATGCTATTCTCATATCTGGTTAACATAATTAAATAATAATTAGAACTTACCGCATATTATGTCTAAGGCACAGAGAGTGATGTCAAGAAAACAGTTAAAGGCTTCTTGGTCAATGTGTTTTTCAAGCTTATTGACTAAAACATTAGCTTGTTCATTCATGACATCTAAGAATTCTTCCAGAATTGTGAAATGAAAGGTTGGGGTTAGCATTTTTCTCCTGGAACGCCACTTGTCTCCAGTACTAGAAATTTGTTACAAATAAGAAAAAGAAGGGAAAAAAAGCGATGAAGCTGAAATTTTTTTTAAACTTTTTGATCTGAAATCCAAATTTGATAATTACTCTATAATTAATATAATTAATTATATATAAATATTATTAATATAATCACAATAATCTATATATTCTTAAATGTTGTGTAAGAATTTCAATGAGTAAGTTATAACAAATCTATTTTAGAACCCTAATACATAAGATTCTGATTATAATATGATACTCTACAGCCTGCAGAAATGTAAGGCTTTGCTGTCTCATCAGTAGCACAATTCTCTATTCCTGGAATGCCCTGCCCTTGTTAAATCCCTACCCATCCTTAAAAGCCTAACCCCAGGGGCAGCTAGGTGGCACAGTGGATAGAGCACCAGCCCTGAAGTCAGGAAGACCTGAGTTCAAATCTGACCTCAGACCAAACACAAGACACGTACTAGCTGTGTGACCTTGGGCAAGTCACTTAACCCCAACTGCCTCACTAAAAAAAAAAACTAACCCCCAGGCTACCAAATCCATGAAGCTTTCCATGATTATCCTGCTGCTAACTACCTCCCCTCTCTGATGTCAGAGAGGACCTGATTTTGTCCCTCTCTGGCAAATAACATATTTTACCGTGTATTATATTTTTCAGTGATTGTGTCTTTGCCTCTACTAGACTCCAAACTCTATGAGGGCAGAGAAGCAATCTGTGAACTCCTCATCTACTTCAATACCAAACACAGAGGCTTGCATACAGTAGGCACTTAATAGATGTCTGTTGAATTTTAATATAGTGTTATTCCATGGAAATATTACAACCTAAATATTTTCATGTAAATCTCCATTGAAAAGACTCCTTAATTTGAGAAGGAAAAAGTATCCCAAATATCAGAAGCCCCAAACACATTTTAATCTAGATTCATAACTATAGAATAAGACTATAAAAATGGGATGCTTTTTTAACACAATTGTAGCAATATCATTATATATTGAGAAGTTGAAATGCAAAGATTATAATTATTATCACAAATACTTTCTTCATTTTAACAAATATAAATAGTACAAAAAACTTTTAAGGTAGATAACAGTAACTTCTGACATTTTCAATTCTAAAAAGAAATAGGATGAGATCTTTACATTAGTATACCTTGTAAGGAGTCCGAGGCCAAGCCAGGGTTGCAGGAACTTATACAGGCAGGACTTGTCTATTTGCTTTGAACTTGATAAAAGTGCCTTAAGAGAGGAAAAAGAAAAGTGTGTGCTTCGGGTTATGGAAACCTTTGGACAGAGTGTGGTGGAGCAGCCTTGGAATCAGGAAGCCCTTAATACAAACTCTCCCTTATAGTAGCCATGTGACCAGTCTTTTAACCTCTCATCACTCCCAGAAAATTCTGTAAAACTATAAATGACACAGGAGCTGCTATCCTATGTCAACAGACAGAATTCTTTACATGAGTGAAGCTGTAGACCCAAACCAAAATTATACATTGATACACACCCTGTGTGTGTGTGTGTGTGTGTGTGTGTGTGTGTGTGTGTGTGTGTGTGTACAGATGATAGGTACACTGATTATTTTTAAAACTGATTTTAATCAAACCTGTGGATTCATTGGCATAGTGAACTCCAAGTGTGGAAGTCCTTCTTCCAATACAAGACCATAACTATTATGCAATTATAGTCTTAAAGAGCTGCCTAGATCACTGAGAGGATGTGACTTTCTGAGAGTCACATGACTAGTATGAGTCAGAAGCAGGATTTGAACTTAGGCCTTCTGGACTTCAAAGCCAGCTTGGAGGCTGTCCACTACACTGACTTACTACACTGGTCTCCCTCCACCTCCATTTTCTCTCTGTGTCTATCTCTGTCACTCTCTGTCTCCATCTCTGTCTGTCTGTCTCTGTCCCTCCCTTCTCTCTCTCTCTCTCTCTCTCTCTTTCTCTCCCTCAATCTGTCTCTCTTCCCTCTCTCTCTCTATCTGTCTATTCCCCTCTCTCTATCTGTCTCTCTTCCCTCTCTCTCTCTCTCTCAATCTGTCTCTCTTCCCTCTCTCTCTCAATCCGTCTCTCTTCCCTCTCTCTCTCAATCTGTCTCTCTTCCTCTCTCTCTCTCTCTCTTCCCTCTCTCTCTCTCTCTCTCTCCTCTCTCTCTCTCTCTCTCTCTCTTCCCTCTCTCTCAATCTGTCTCTCTTCCCTCTCTCTCTCAATCTGTCTCTCTTCCCTCTCTCTCATCTGTCTCTCTTCCTCTCTCTCTCTCAATCTCTCTTCCCTCTCTCTCTCTCTCTCTTCTCTCTCTCTCTCTCTCTCTCTCAACCTGTCTCTCTTCCCTCTCTCTCTATCTGTCTCTCTTCTCTCTCTCTCTGTCTCTCTTCCCTCTCTCTCTCTCTCTCTCTTCTCTCTCTCTTTGTCTCTCCTTCCCCCCCTTTCCCCCACCCTCCTTCCCTTCTCTCCTCTCTCCACTTCTATATATATACACATACATATATAATTACAAATATATATCATCATACATAATGTATATTATATGTACATATGTGGGAAAAAACAGGAAAGCTATTTTAAATATTAAAATGCCTATATAGGAAAATTTAGATCTAAAACAATAATTTCAATGTCTACTCTTTTGCCATGATTAGGCATATTGATTCATTCATTCATGAAGAAATCTTCCCACCTAGGTCAAAAATTCCTCAGTGAACAGGCCTGGAGAAAGGAAAGGAGGAAACTTCCTCTTTAAGTGTTTGATTATACCCACATAAAATGTGGACCCTAAATGAGGAAAACCAAACCTTTAACCAGATTGGTGCTTTAAGGGGGCTGAAATAAAATGCAAACAAAAAAGTTTTATTTTGTTTTTTAAAGTTTCCAGAATTAAAATCAAGAGTTGGGCCTAGGGGCAGCTAGGTGGTACAGTGGATAGAGCATTGGCCCTGGAGTCAAGAGGACCTGAGTTCAAATTTGGATTCAGACACTTACTAGCTATGTGACCCTGGGCAAATCACTTAACCTCAATTGCCTCAAAAAAAAAAAAGAGCTGGGTCAATCATGTAGCACGAAAACAAATAAATAAATGCTCTAGCTTCAAGGCACATTGCTACCCCACAGATACTAAGGGAACAGGAAGAAGGGCTCCCGTGTGTTGGACAGCTCCTCATTATTGGGGGGGGGTGAAGGGAGAAAAAATAAAAACAATAACAATTTATGTCATATATAAATAGTACTGTAAGATTTACAAAGCATTTTCTTCTGACAGAAGTAGTACAATGGTTGAGAGAAAACTAGAAGTTTAGAGGTTAAGTGAAAGTAGGGAGAAAGTCAGAGAACCTCTAGCTGACCTTGGTAAATTCAAATTATTAGGCTGTGATGAGTGATAGATAGTCTCAGTTCTGAGAGAACTGGCAGATGAAACTGATGAGCCACTGTCAGGGATCTCATGGATCCTGGAGGACAGGAGGGGTACTGGGGGACCAGAGAGGTCAAATAGTTTCTGGATTTCCAAAAACAGAGAAGAGGACAGAGTCTGCAAAACTCTAGTCAAGGGAGCACTAATTCCTAGGAAATTTTTAGAAAATATTGTTAGAGGGATGAATAATGAACAACCAGAAAAGAATCCAGGAAAGCTTCTGCAAGAAAAGGTCATGCTGTTCCCCAAAGCATAAAATTGCAAATAACTAAATGAAAGATTGCTTCAAGTCACTAATAATAAGAGAAATGCAGATCAAAACTAGTCCAAAATTTCAACTCATACCCAGCAAATTGGCAAAGATGACAAAAGATGGGAATAGGCAATGTTATAGGGCATATAACAAGACAGGTAGATTTTAGGCACTCTTGAAGTGTATAGAGTGTAAAACATACTTGTTGCCTTAAGGCTAAGAGACCAACCATTGGGCCATTTATAATTGTCTTAGAGGAGCTGTGAATTGATCCAACCACTCTGAAAATCAGTTTGGAAGGAGTGGTCAGATAGGTAGGAGGAGAACCAGGAGAGAAAGGTGACCTGAAAACCTAGAAAGAAGAGAGTATCAAGGAGAAGAAGGTGATTAACCGTGTCAAAGCCTACGGAGAAGTAAAAAAGCATGAGGATTGAGAAAAGGACATTAAATTGGGCAACTGAGAGAGAACTGGTAACTCTGAGGACAGCAATTTTGGTCGAATGAGTTGGATGCCAGACTATAGAAGTGAAGAAGAGAGCAAGAGGAAAGGCTGTGGGGGGCACTTGTAGACAGTGTTTCTCAAGGAGTTTAACCACAAAAGGGAAGAGGGACATGGAACTCAAGCTAGCAGGGATGGATGGATGGATGGATGGATGGATAGATGGATGGATGGCTGGATGGCTGGATCAAGCAAAGGTTTCATGAGGAAGACATGGGCATGTTTGTAGGCAGTAAGAAAGCAGCCCAACAGGGAGAAACTGATAAAAGTGAGGGCATAGATGATAGAGGGGGCAATCTGCTGAAGACGAGAGGATACAATGGGGTTATTTGTGGGTGGAGCTTGCCTTGGCAAAGAGAAAGGCCACTTCATTATGTGAGAGAGGCATAAAGGAAAAGGTAATGGAAGAAGGCGTCTGGGCTATGTGTGATGAGGAGTTGAGGAAAAGATGCAGCTGTTGGCAAATGGCCTCCATTTTTTCAGTAAAATATGAGGTACGTTTCTCAGGTGAGTTAGTGGGGGTTGGGGAGTCATAGGAGGCTTGAGGAGGGATAAAGAAAAGGTTTAGAAGAGCTGCTATGATGAGAAGGATAGCAAAAGGATTGCCTGGCAGCAGTGAGTGCTCACCTGAAGTCATGTAACATAAATTCATAGTGGACCCAGTCAGAACGGTCTCGTGGGATGTCCAGCTTCATACAGAAGCATGTTTTCAGGAGCAAAGGCAGCAGATGGAACTCATCCAAGGCTAAGGCTTTGCAGGACAAGTTCAGTGACATGATAAGGGGGCAAAGGGACGCGAGAAGAAAGTGGGTATGTTTGTCCTGAGGAAGAGAAGAGGAGACCGAAGGGTGGGGGCAGGACATGAAAATTGCCTCCGCATCATATGGAAGAGGGAATAGACTTACTCCGTTTGCCTCTCAAAGGCAGAGAGTGGCAAAGAGGTAGCTTTAGGCCTGATATTAGGAAAATCTTTGTAAAACTTAGATCAGCCCAGAAGTAGAGGTTCCTCCTCAATATAGGTCTTCAAGCCTTATAAGACTAGATGATTACTTCTTGAATATTCTGCAGAAGGGATTCTGGTTTGGGTATTGGTTAGACTTCATGGCTGGGGAACCTGCAGCCTTGAGGACATACGTGGCCCTTTAGGTCCTCAAGTGCTGTCCTTTGACTGAATCCAAATTTCACAGAACAAATCAATCCCCTTAATAAAAGGATTTGTTCTGTAAAACTGGACTCAGTCAAAAGGCCCCACCCAGGGACCTATGAGGCCACATGTGGCCTCGAGGCTGCAGGTTCCCCACCCATGGACTAGATCAAAGATCTTAACCTTTCTGTTTCATTATTGTTGTTATTGTTGTTATTCAATTATTTCAGTCATATCTGACTCTCATGACCCAAATTTGGGTTTTCTTGGCAAAGATACTGGAGTGGTTTGTCATTTCCTTCTCCAGCTCCTTTTACAGAAGAGGAAATGAGGCAAACAGGGTTAAATGACTTGCCTAGGGTTACACAGCTAGTCAGTATCTGAGGCCAGATCTGAACTCAGATCTTCTTTACTCCATAAAAGAACCCTTTGGCAGTTTCAGAATGATACATAACACATAGGTTTACAAAGGACACAATTATATTGAAATAGTTATTTTTTTAAAGCACCTTTACCCCCCTTGCTAGTCCTCACATACAACACTCCATTTCCTGATTCCATCCACCCTCACTGGCTATCTCCCAGGTCTGGAATCTTCTTCCTTCTCTTCTCTGCCTCTTGGCTTCCTTCAGATCCCAGCTAAAACCACACCTTCTTCAAGAAGCCTTTCCTGGTCCCTCTTAATGCTAGTACCATCTCTCTGAGATAATCTCCATTGTATCCTGGATATGCCGTGTTGGTGCTGTTGGTGTATTATTTCCCCTGTAAGACTGTGAACTCCTTGAGGGCACAGTAGGCTTTTTGCTTGCTTGTGTTTTTGCTTTTCTGTGTATCATCAGTACTTAGGATCATGCCAGGCACATAGTAGGTGCTTGACACATGCCAGTTGTTTGACTTGATAAGTTCTCAGGCTCCAGTCCCTTACACCTTTGAGATTCTATGACACTCTTACAGCCTGTATCACCAGAGATGAGATTTGAACACTGGTGTTCCCAACTCCAAATACTGCACTCTGTCTTCTGCTTTACTCCATAAAGAATGTGGGATACTGCTTCATTATAGAAGATAATTGCCTCCACAGGAGGCAATATTTTCAAATATGGCTCTTCTGGTTTAAGGGAGTTAAGAAACAGTACTCCACTAATCTTTCAGTTGGCTGCTAATAGGTATAATTAACTTAATTTGTACTTGAAGAAAAGTGAGCTTCTGAGAAATAAAGCTACGGTTACACAGAGACTTGAACTATTTGGTCACAAATCTCTATTTCCTCATTCTCATTCTGTAGTATTCTTTACTATATCACCTTTTCTTCCTGTAAAAAATACTTCATATTGTCTTCCCCATCAGACTGTGAGCTCTTTAAAATCAGGCAGCAAGGTGATACAGAGGATAGAGCATGGGACCTGGAATCAGGAAGAACCAAGTTCAAATCCAGCTAAGCTGTGTGACCTTGGTCAAATCCCTTAACCTCAGTTTCTTCAACTGTAAAATGGGAATAATAATTAGTACCTACCTCCCAGGGTTGTTATGGGGATAAAATGAGGTAATATTTGTAAAGTTCTTAGCACAGTACCTGACTCACAGTAAGTGCTTAATTAATGATTATTTACTTACTAATTATAGTAAAGAATTATTTTGATATGATTCTCATGAAATGATATGTATAACATTAATAATTAGTTATACATTTCTATGTAATTATATTAAAATAATTAGTATAATATTAATAAATAACATTTCTAATTTGTATTTACAATAAGTTCTTTCTCTAACTTTAAGAGGGCAAAAGCTTTAAGAAGCAGATGAAGATTATTACAGATAGAACTGAAATAGGGAGGAAGGAATGTAGAGCCAATTCTGAGGGAGAGAGGAGAGGCAAGAGAGAGACTTCACTGTTTATATGCTTTCTGAACAGGCATGGTGGTATAGCCCTGTAATACCAGCTATCTCTTGACCTCGGGATTCCTGAGCTGAAGTGAACTATGTCAGTTGGGTGACTGAATTAAGTAAAACACCAGTGTGGTAAGCCCCAATGGCTGAGGAGCTACCAGGTTGCTTAAGGAGGGCTGAAGCAGGCCTGGTTGGAAATGGTGCACAACAAAGCTTTCATGTTGATCAGGGTGGGATTAGGGCCATAGATGGCTGCTGTACTTCTGGTCTGGGCAAGATAAAGAGACCCAGTCTTAAAAAACAAATAACACAATTTTAAAGGTTTTCTGTTTAAATTATGACCATGGTCTCCTTTGATTTGCATGCCAATAAACCAAAGGCATAGTAGGAAAGAAAACTGATCATAGCAATAGGCTATAAATAAAGAAATCTCATTCTGGAATATTTCAATTAAATTTTTTCTAATCATAAGCATTGTGACTGATGTTCACACACACAAGCACACATGTATAGGGCAGGGTAGTATGACAGAAGAAAAAGTACTAAATCTTGAGTTTAAAAATGTGTCAAAATTCTTCCCATAATATAGGTAGCTAGATGGTGCAGTGGATATAGCTCTGTATCAGGAGTCAGAAAGAACCTGAGTTCAAATCCAACTGTAGACACTTACTTGCTGTGTGACCTTGGGCAAGTCAATTAACATCTCTGAGCCTTGGTTTCCCCACCTGTAAAATGAGGGAAGTAATAGCACCTACCTCCACTTGTGAGATAAAACAAGACAACGTTTTTGAAACTTCAAAGTGCCATATTGATGGGTACTATCATTATTTTTAATAATACTTTCTAGCTGGTAATAGATAATACTTCCTAGTATTATTTACTATCTATCTAGCTGTAGATAATACTATCTAGTTGCACTTAGACAACTCATATCACCTCTGCATGTCTCAGTTTCCTTATCTATAGATTGAGAGGGCTAGTCTAGTTGCTGCCCAATATCCCCATATCAACATTGCATGTATTGAGAGGTACCTTTTAAAACCTAAAATACTCCAACTATTTCCCTAAGTAATGACTCAAGTAGCAGGGAGCATTTCTGATAGGTATTCCACTAGGATTCAACAGTTCTTCAAATTGTATGTTTCTATATGAAATACAAACTCACCTCCACATTATCAGCGTGATACAATACCACCATTGGCACTGGTCCTATCCACAATTTTAGCAGTGGTTCCTGTCTGTATTCTTCAATATAGTAATTGATCTGTTCAAAAAATTCTGGGAAATAAATGTTTTCAGTTAAAATTCAGTCAAAATGAGCATTTGGGTAATTAAATGTTTGTAAAAATCATGCATTTTTAAAAATACCTCTAGCTTTCTGAAACATTCAGACTTCTTAGGATTCAATTTTTAAAACAGGAATGGGAAGAATGACTTCCTGTATGATAACTAAAAACAGAAACCAAATTCTCTGTAAGAGCCTCTGTGCTAAAAGATATTTGATTTTTTTTATCTAAAATTTTTTAACGTTTGTGTTATATTTTCAGTACCTTCATATGGTACAAAGTGAGAATCTGTTTTACTTTTTTCCACATTGCTAGCCATCTTTCTCCAAACCCTGCTCAATTAAAACTTTCCCTCATTTTACTAGCTACAAGCTCATCAAAAACTAAGTTCTTGCATGTGTTCAGTCATTTCTACAGTTTCTATTCTATTCCACTATTCTGGTTTTTCCTGCTTAGTTTTGTTTAGGGAATATCTTAGGAAGTATATTTCTTCCCCTTAAATAGAATAGATGGAAAAAAGAGGGGATAAAGATAGACAATGAAAATTAAACTTTTTCTGAGATAAGCCAGGATGTATGTGAGAAAGAAGAGGAAGAGGAGGTAAGATCAGAGCAGAGAAGACATAATCAAAATTTGCAGTGAATCCAATTAATAAAGTTTCCAATTAATTTCAATCAAATAATTAATCCAATTAATGCAATTTCAATTAATGAAGTTATAGAGAGGAGTGGAACAGAGGAAGTTCATGATTTAAGACTTATTCCCCTCAATAAAAATAGGGCAGATGAAAATAAAATGGAGACCCTATGAGGAGGGTAGAAAAATTTTGAAATAGTTACTTCTGTTGGTGAGGGATGATATAGTTGAAAGGGCACTTTTTTGTTGCTGTTCAATCGTATCTGACTGTATGCGACTCCATGGACATTATCCATAGAATTTTCTTGGCAAAGATAATGGAGTGGTTTTCCATTTCCTTCTCCAGTGTGTCCCCATTTTACAGATGAGGAACTGAGACAAACAGTGGTTAAGTGACTTCCCCAGGATCATATAGCTAGTAAGTGTCTGAGGTCAGATTTGAATTCACTTCTTCCTGCCTGGTGGCCTATAGTCTATCCACTGCACCTATTAGCTGCCCAGAAAGGGCACTTGCTCTGGAGTCAAGGGACAAGTGTTCATATTTTGCTTCTGATCTGTGTTACCCTGGACAAATCACCTACCCTTCCTGGGCTTCAGTTTCCTCATCTGTAAAATAAGGGTTAGACTAGAAGGGCTGTGAAGTCCCATCCATCTCTGCAACTATGCTCCTATGAATAGAGTCAAAGAGTGTTGGGCACAGAGCAGAGATAATGTAATCTAAATCTGTAGTGAATTCAATTAACAACTTCATATAGCCTAGGAGATGTGAAAACCAGTGGTGGTGGTGATGATGTTTGTATGTTTACTTCCCTCATCAGGCTGAAAGATCCTTGAAGGTAGGAAGTAGGTCTGACATTAATTATATATCCCCTATAGTGCCTAGGCTTAGAGCATTGGCTAGGCACTATCCCTAAGATAGCCCCCCAAAAATAATAATTGTAGAGTACCTAGTTTAAACAAAAAAACCTCATCAGTGACAAAAAGACCCTAGAACTTTGAGTGCATACTGAGTATTCATAAATAAATAACTGTTGATTGATAGCAAAGTCGCTCTTAGGAAGCCAGCATGTTCCCATCACACATACAATTGTTCAGAACTGCTTTGGATACTTTATCAGTTCATTCCTTATTTTAAAACTTTATCATTCACTAGAGGCTAAATTTCTTATACCAACAATTATCCAATAGACTTAAGATGCCTTCTTAGCTCAAAGCTTATGATGAGGGAGGGGGAGAGGGGCGTGGAAACTGTATTTCTACATGCCTATTTTAATACATACTGCCACAAAATCTGGAAAAGTATCACAGATTTAGAACTGGAAGGGACTTGGCAGACATCTAGTCCAATCTTCTCATTTTACAGATGAGGAAACTGAGATTGACTGACTTGTTCACACAATGAACTCAGGTCACACAGCACTAAGTGTCAAAAGTGGTATTTTAATCCAGGTCTTCATTCCAGAGCCAGGATGCTTCCTGGATGTGTTATTGTATTAACTTCTTTTTCTCTTTCCAAAAATGTTTTCTGTAAATCTCAACATATTATATACATGATGGAAAGTATCAATCATACAACTTTAAGACAGTCTTGAGTTGATAAAAATTCACTTTATACACTTTTGACTAAAGATTAACGAGAAGATGAAGTTGACAGTATTTTCATCCAGAGAAACAAGCTAGAAGTGGCCAGCTAGCATTTCCAGCCTGAAGTTGAATTCAAGATAAACATTTTCTATATTAAACTATTAACAGTGAAGTTTGGAGAGCTTTAAAGGAGCCTGAAAGCTAGAAAGTAATCAAGACATTCTTGCCCTGACCTTATCACTACCGTTTCCACTTGCAATCCGACTATTGGAGTCTTATAACTTTAAGGCTCTTAAATTTTTCTACTCATAGAAATGAAAAACAACAAAACTGGTCCCACCTACCTTATGCAAGCATTTTAAGGATAGCAACAACAAAAACTTCTAAAGATTTATGCAAAACTAGATTTATAAGAGCTTTATAACTTAATAGCACAAGACCACATTTGATATATTACTTCTATTAAAATAGGACTGAGATGTTTCAGCTCTTAGAAAAAGAAATAAGGACATCTGCTATTAACAAACAACTTTGTTGCAAATTTCCCCCAGAATTCAACTGGAAGCCTCAGTCAACTAAGCTCAGAGTTGACTAGGTCTCTGAGGAAAGGAATATTGTTGGGTAACCCCCTGGATAGGAGTTCAAGTGTCAATGAAAGGGGAACAAACATAGAAAAGTAGGGAGCATGGCTTAAAATGTTACATCTTAGGTCCTAAACCATCCTACATAACTTTATATTTTAAGTTCAAAGTTGTACTGAAGCCTTTGTTATATGGGGATGCGGAAGAAGTCGGGGTACTTGTTTTGGGTGACAGATCTTTTCTAGGTTTTAAGCAATTATTGTGACAAAGAAGGAAAGACTGAGTAATGAAAATGAAACTTTTTCTGAGATGAGCAGGGGAGTATGTGGGAAATGAGAGGAAGAGGAAGTAAGGGCAGGTCAGAGAAGCATAGTCTAAATTTGTAGTGAATCCAGTTAAGGTAGTTTCCCAACTATAACTCAGGAGCTGAGAAAATCAGTGATGAGGATGGTTTTTATTTCCCTCACTAGACCGAATAACTCCTTGAAGGAAGGACATTAGTTAAAAGGGATCTCAGACAGGAACAACTCACAATTTAAAGGCTTTATGGTTCACAGTGTATTCAGAGCAACTTGTGAGGGAGTTGGTGCAAGTATTATTTTTCCTATTTTACAGATGAAGAAAGTGAATTTTGGAAAGGTCAAGTGCCTTGCCCACAGCCACATATGTGAATGTCAGTCCTGGGATTTGAGCTTTCCTCTAGTTCCAGCGCTCCTGACAGTCCAAACCCCTCATTTTGTAGATGAGAGGGCTGAGGCACTGAAAGAAACCTCAAGAACTGTCAGATCCAGGACCAGAACTGGCTTCTGACTCCAATTGCATCTCACATCGGGAAGCATCAAGAACAGGAGGAACTCAGCGCAAGGGGCCAGAGAGCCAAATCATCAGTGCGGGGCACTCCAAATCTCAGAAGCTGCGCAGGGAGTTGCTGCAAAGTTTGGAGGTTGCTGCTGGCATATCAGAAGAGTTAGAGACCGAAAGGACTGGCAGGCAGCAAGGATATAATTTAGCTTATTTAAAGAAAAGATAGAAAGGATGAAAATAGAAGGAGGGAAAGAGGAGGCAGACACGGAAAGCGTGAGAAAAACAAAAGAGAGAAAGAGAATTTGAAAAATTGAGAGGAAAAAGAGGGAGAGAAGGGGAGAAGAAGAAAAGAGGGAAAGAGGGGATTCGGAAAGGGGGAAAGGAGAATGAGAACGAAACTAAAAGTTCAGAGCCGGTTGAGGATGGAGATTTCCCGTCCGCACTCTCTCTGAACTGTCCACCCTAGACCGGAAAGGTGAGTAAACTGAGTCAGATTGCCTGGGGACGGAAAGGAGAGAGGCGATAGTCGTCCAGCTGCGCCAGATCGGCTCATTTAGTTACCTTGGCTATCAGATTTCATATACAGACAGTGTCCCACCAGAGGGTACGCGATGCGAACGGTGGGGATGTCTTTCATCTGATTCCATTTCCGGACATAAGCGACCAACATCTGCACCAGAGTCAGCGCGAGGATGGTGCCCAGCAGGGTAACCGCGCCTGTGGCACCCCAGTAGAGCAGCTTCTGCCCAACGGGCACTAACCACATGTCTCCTCCCATCGTGATCGCCAGATATTCTCAGGCCGACTAACGCTGCCAGGGGCAAGAGAGTTCTCCGTGGACAGCCGGGGCTCGCTTATAGGCCAGCCAGCCGCGCTTTCCAGGGAGCCCAAGCAGGCGGTCCAGGTGCTCGGGGCAGAGGAAGAGGGACGCTGCCAGCCAGCCACCGACCCACCCGGGAGCTGGCTTCCCAAGGGCTTAATTAGCTAGACTATCTGCGCAAGGTGGGGCACTGCAGCTGGGTCCAGGGAGGCAGAAGTCACGGGAACTCCAGGCCTCGTTAAGTGGGGTTTGCTCCCCAGGCTCTGGTTACGATCCTGCGAGGGAGGGAAGAACAAAAGAGGTCTAATATGCAATCGTTTTCGAAAGCTGAACTCTATGCCCCAAGCCCTCAGCACCGCTGCGGTGCAGCTGCAGTGGAAGTCGAGGTCCGCAAAGCCCCCTCAAGTTCCGACTTTCGTCTTGGAAGGGCGGAAGACCAAGGCTAGCCTGGCTCTGAGCGGCCAGCAATGCAACAGCTGGGGCTCAGAAGCCAGCTATCCGTCTGCGGAGTTTGCGGACCCTGTCACTCTGAAGTGGAAGAGCTATTTACTTTTGCTGGGACTTGTTCCCGGGGCGGGGAGAGGAGGAGCGAATTTTGTGGCATTTTGCGTCATCAACAAAGGTTTTGGAAACCCTTTTGGCTCAGCGAAACCAGACACTGCCGCCATTCAAGTGCAGGACGCCTTGATTATTGCAATAGTCAGCTGATGGGTCGGCCTCCCTCAAGGCTCTTCCCACTCCAGACAGTTCTCCATTCGGGCACTAAAGTGATTTTCCTAAAGTGCAGATCTGATCATTTCACCCACTTACTCGGTAAATTCTGGTGGCTTCCTATTGCTTCCAGGAGCAAATGCAAAATGCTCTGCTTTGCATTCAAACCCTTTAATACCTTAGCCGCTTTCCCATCTTTCTAGTGTTCTTACACCTCACTCTCTGACACATACTCTTCCATCCAGTGACGCTGACCTGTTCCACGAACAAGAGTCTCCAACTCTCTGCTCCAGGCATTCTCTCTGATTGTCCTCCATGACTGGAATTCTCCCCCCCTCCACTCTGACTACTGACCTCCTTGGCTTCCCTGAAGTCCCACATGAAATCCCACCTTTTACAGGAAGCCTTCTCCACCCACTCAATTCCAGTGCCTTCTCTCTGTTCATTATATCCTATTTATCTTGTATATAGCTTGCTCTGTATACATTTGTGTGCAGTTGCTTACCATCTAATGGTAAGCTCCTTGAGGGTAGGGACTATCTTTGGCCTATTTTTGTATCCTCTGTTCTTGGCATAGTGCCAGGCACACAGTAGGCACTTCATAAATGTTTACTGATCAATTAATTTTAAAGGCACTGTAGTTAACATCTAATCCCTTCATTCTACAATTGGGGAAAGTGAGGTTCTAAGAGATGACTTGATTTGCTTAGAATCAGTGGCAGAGTCAGATTTGAACTTAGGACTATCTTTATCCAAGTCACTGCATTACATAACTTGTAGGCAGATCCCACATTCAACTTGTTGAGATTCAAGTACATAATATATACACATGTATTTGTTTAAGACAACAACAAACGTTGGGGAAAGGATATGGCCTACAGAAATAAAGACTATTTTTGGAGGAACACAAAAGAGTAAAAGGGATGGGTCCTGATTATGGAAAAACTAACATTCTAAGTTAGATAACCTCAGCTAGGTGGCTCACTGGATAGAACACTGACCTAGAGCCAGGAAGACTCTTCTTCCCGAGTTCAAATCTCGCTTCTGATACTTACTAGTACTGTGACCCTGGGCAAATCACTTTACCCTGTTTGCCTCAGTTTCCACATTTATAAAATGATCTGGAGAAGGAAATGACAAATCACTACAGTATCTTTGAATAAAAGCAAAGGCAATGGTGAGCATGTTGGGTTCTGGGGACCTTAATGAAAACAACCACCAAGGCTGGAACACAGGGTTTGAGTTGGAAACTAGTGGGGAAAAGGTTGGATGAGGTAGGCTGGGACCAAAACACTTAAGGCTAGGGAATTTGGAGTTCATCCTGGAGACAGTGGGAGCCATTGAACGTTTTCTAAGCAGAAAAGTAACATGATTTTAACAAAAGCTCACCGACAGCACTTTCAACATTGTGGGGCAAGTAGTATTATCATTGCTCCCCATCTTAGAGGGGAAGAAAAGCCTCATAGAGATTAAGGTACTTGCTCTTGGCCACACAGCTAATAACAGATCCAGGATTTAAACCCAGTTTTGTTTGTTTGATTGTTTTACTTCACATCCAGAATTTTCCCACTATACCACATATATTATATAGTATGAGAGAAATGATTATTAATAACCAATGATTTGGGGAGATTCAGATTTCCCCCTTTTTCTTTTATCCTCATTTCAAGACATGTCTCTGAAGGTTGAGCTAACCTTGTCCTCTATCCAGACCCAACCCAGATGGGGCAGCCATTGTGTTCCACTCAGGTTTGGGTGGGGATAAATTCTCTGAATAGATTGCCCAAAGTTGGAGTTAGAAGTAAATGACATAATCAAAGTTCAGGTCGAGCCCCTCATTGTAATAATCATTATTGTTGATTGTTCCAAGAGGGAGGGGGAAGAACACTCCTCCACCAAAAGAGCCCACCCCGTTCCGCCCATGATTGTCTTTGGTCTAAGAAGGAGATGGCCAAATAACCATCCTTTTATTTAAATGCTGACATTATTAGTAAAATGATTAAAGTACCCAGAAATTCTCTCTTGAACCTTTTTTAAATGTCACAAGTGAAAGCCTTTCCCCCCCAAAAAAATTCTTTTTGTATGCTGAATAAATAACATTTTCTACATATACACATAATACCATTTTTCAGTTGTATATTGATGTACTGATTTATGCATGTGATTTCCTCCATTAGAATGTAAAACTTCTCGAGGGCTTGAGCTATTTTTCCTTTTTCTTTGTCTCTAGAAATTAGCAAAGTGCCTGACACATATGGCAAGCACTTAATAAATTCATCATTGATTGATATAGATGTAATTAGTAGATTATTCATTTTTAGAAATTTTCAATTCATAATAGCTCTTTGGTACTATATATTTTCTCAGTCAATGAGTAGTAACAATACAGTTTCTATTATTTGGAGGGGGTATGTTTTATATATAAAAGGGTCCTTCAGTTGCTGTACACCAGAAATGTTGAACATGCAGATAGCAGACCACAACACTGTCATGTTAGCCCAAACCACATTAAAATGTAATGGGAAATATATAACAAAATAAACAATAATACAATAAAACATAGCTAATGTTAATATGTAGCTTTCTAAGTCAAAATGCAGCCCACAGGGATCCTTATTATGTGGTTTAATGGCTCCTTTCTATTTGAGTTTGTCACCAATGTTCTGTACCAAGCTTTTTTTCGTCTCCCATGCTTGCCATTAAAAAAAAAGAACACCCCCCCATATGTATATATTTACTTATTTATAAATTACTAGTACTAGTACTAGTGTGCTGGTAATAATATCAATTACACATGTTACACATAAATATAAAAATTTTAAATGATGAGCTAAGGATAGAATAATATGATCCTGGGGAAATAGGGAGCCACTGCAGTTTGTCTACATGACTGACTTGTTCAGACCTGCTTTAAGCAGGGCAGCTAGGTGGCGCCATAGTGCATAGAGTGCCAGGCCTGGAGTCAATAAGACTCATCTTTCTGAGCTCAAATCTGGCCTCAGACACTTACTAGCTGGGTGGCCTTGGGCAACACACTTAACCTTGTTTGTCTCAGTTTCCTCATCTGTAAAATGAGCTAGAAAAGGAAATAGCAAACCACTCTAGTATCTTTGCCAAGAAAACCCCAAGTGGGGTCATGACTGAAAACTCAACAGCACCAAATACATTACAAAGATCATTTTGTCAGCTGTGTGGAGAATGGACTGGAGAGGGGAGGGGTTTGAATCAGAGAAATCCAATAGGAGACTGTTGCATTAGTACAAGACACAGGTGATGGGGGCCTAAATGAGAGTGCTGGTCATGTGAGTAGAGAGACGGGGTCCCATGTGAGAGATGTGGAGGTAGGGGTAGCGGAAGAGAGGAGTCTTAACACCAAGGTTATCCTGGGTGACTAGGAAGATATTGGTACCCATTGATGCAGGTGGTGCTGCTGTAGATAAAACGCAGGAAGACCGGAGTTCACATGTGACCTCAGACAGGCAAATCACTTAACTTTTCTGTGGCTCAGTTTCTTCAGCTGTAAATTAGGTATAATAATAGCATCTACCTCCTAGGGCTGTTGTGAGCATCAAAAGAGATAATATATGTTAAAAAGCACTTAGAACTATATGAATGCTTATTCCCAATCTCTCGCTCCCCCTTGGCAGTAATAGGGAAGTCTGAAAGAAGTGTCATTTTGGGGGAGTGGGATGAGGGAAGATAATGTAATGAGATCTTCATGTAGGTCACAACCCCTCCACACTTGCTCATCCTATGTGACTCACTCTGTCTCACCCAAAATAGAGATGAGGTTTCCGCTCTCCTGCCACTTACTCAGTGCGGTGTACCTTTCAAAGGATGCCTTCAGAAGCCACAAGGTGATAGGGAGGCCTGGAAGAGGGGCAGAATTTCCCCAAAGGCACCTGTGTTACTACTGTGGATAGCAGTTAGTTTGGGTTATAACTACCCTGGGAGGGTAACACCTTCGGGGGGGGGCGCTTGGAAGAGTACACAGCAGAGGGCGGAGTCAGAGTGTCCGGGATGACATGGCTAGGTATAGTGTTGCAAACAAGTCCTAGGATTGGCTATAATATCTGGACTGAGATTGTGACCCATATGATTCATTGATTTTCTTAGAGTCAAAATACATTCCCCCGGGTCAATTCCACAGTCAGCCCAGAACAACTCCCTTATTTTGAAAACCTCTTCACTAGACCATGAGCACTTCAAAATTCTAGGCTCTCAACCAAACATCTTTAAAGGCAACATCTCTAGCTAAAACCCTCAGAAATGCTACATTGAGAGTCTCCTCCTTTTACACACTTGCAAATGCTGCAGCATTCCTATGACTGACTTTTTCATGAACTATATGGTTCTGTTACCTGTACTGATCAGATTAACCAGATCCTTTTTCAAATGTGCATTTCAAACCTGGAAAGACCTATATGGTCTGATGCTGAGTGAAGTGAGCAGAACCAGGAGGACTTTGTACACAATAACAGCCACGTTATGCAATGACTAATATTGTTAAACTGAACCCTTCTCAGCATTACAAGGATCTAAGACATCTCCAGAGGCCTTGGGATGGAAAATGCTGTCCACATCCAAAGAAAGAACTATGGAAGTCGAATCGCTATCACTTATTTTTACCTTCTGTTGAGTTTTGTTTCATCTTTCTGATGGTTCCTCCTATTGGTTTTAATTTTTACTTACAACTTCACTAATGTGAAAATATGTTTAATAGAAATGTAAATGTAAAACCTATATCAGATTGTGCACTGTCTTGGGGAGGGTGGGGGGAGAAAAATTTTCAACTCAAAAGCATATGGAAGTG